AGAATCAAGGATATGCATATTAACAAGCTGATCATAGAAGGAGATTTTGAAGTGGTGGTAAACTGGCTGAAAGAGGATAGTCTTAGACTTTGGAATTACAGTAATGAAAAGAGGAAATTCAAGTGGTTGACTAAGGACATGGAAATTCAATACAAATGGGTAAAAAGAAGTGTGAACTCTTTGGCAGATGGTCTAGCTAGACAAGGGGTGAACAGGCATTCTATTTTTTGGGCTCTCTTGTAATTTTTGTTCTTTTGATGTTTAATGGTTGTTCTTCGGAGCTAAGATTGTTTAGCCCCCTTGCCCTGTAATTTTCTCATACTTTTAATATTAATTCAATCCACAATTATTGATCAAAAAAAATACATACGAAATACAACATTTTGTACTCTACATATTTGTATTTCTACTCCTTCCAAACTGAGCCTATGCAAAAAATAAAACAAAACAAAAGTTAGCAGAAAGTAGGGGTGCAACTTGGGCGGGTCCAGCCCAAGCCTGAACTAACCCAGCCTGAAATTTTACACAAGCTGGGCATGGATTTTTGGTCCTCGGGCCGAGCTCGGGCCCAAGAAGTCAGTCTTTTTAATTTTTCGGGTCGGGCCTAGCCCTTAGATATCCCGAGCCCGGCTTAACTATACACATTCATACATACATATGTACATATATGTTTTGCATACATGTTTGCATAAATAATAGCCCGCATTATATATATATATATAATATTAGGGTGGATTCATTGACCAACCCAAGCCCGACCAGGGCCCAAGCCCAACCCAAGTGCATCAAATTATAATGCGGGCTGGGCTAGGGTTGGGAAGGTCGGGCTTGACCTCGGGCTCGGTCCAGGCTCGGGCCTTAAGTCCAAATTTTAAGGTCGGGCCTGGGTTAACCATAAACCCAGCCCAACCCGCCCGACTTGCACCCCTAGGGATGAAGATTTGAGAATGGGAAAGCAAAACCCACAAGACACATAGTTGAAGACAGTAACAAATGGAATGCCAAAGAATCAATCTTCATGCTACAACTTATGAACAGTAAAATTGCCACCACAAGTGCAAATGGATTAGATAGAACAATGGGAAGATCTGAAAGAAAATATCATCGCTCCCAAATCTAAAAGCATGACAGTGTATTTGGAGGACAAAGGCATAGGTAGGCCTCAAGTCTATGATAGATGGATGGACTACACAAGGTCAAGGACATAAATCTTGGTATATTTGCATTTGCAGTATGAATTGAGAATGTTCCAGCTCAACAACCTGTACAAAGAAGGCTTTTCACCAAATAGAAGATAACCATTAAAAGCATTTATGCATAGTACTACATAATAAACTATATAATATACCTCCCTTTAGAGCTAGCAAAAGTAATGTTTATAAAATAATAAAATCATAAATTAGTGTGCCAAACACTAAAGCCTGGGAAATAGTGTTTAAGTAGATCCAACACAACACAGCATACACTAGGGGAAGTTCATTAAAGCATAACTACAATAAATTAGTTTAGTTAAATTATGATTTCATGCTTTTTGTTGCACAAGTATTTCTGCTTTGGGTGTTTTTGCTTTGAAAAACACACATTACCAAACTCTGGAGATTTTTTTTTGATGTCGAAGCACAAAAGTACTTTGGAAAAGCTTATCTAAACATAACCTAAATGAATAACATGAACAGAAAACCTTACCGCAATTCTTTGCTGATTTAGACCACCTTCTGCATGGATAAAAATATAACCAGTTGTTTCATTCTCTGGAGGAAGATCTGCACAGATCCAAAATAAAATTGTTAGATTGAAAAAAGAAGCATAACAAATTAGAGATTCAAGACAAAATGTGTATATTAGATTTACCAAATTAGCCTGACAACCTTGTCTTGATTTCTTCAGTCAATAACTTGAAGTATTTTGCTTGCACAAATCATATATACACATACATACATATATATATACCATATTTCTATATAAGATGTACATTATTTCCTCATCAACTCTCAACCTGCTTGTTTTTAAGGCAAAAGCTCAGGTCCTAGATTAGGATGATCAGGATCAACCATTTAATAATTCCACCTTGAAGATAGACTGGGTCAGATTCTGCATAAGTTCTTATCCAAAATGCATGCTTTCAAGCAAATATTTGGATAATGTCAAATTTCTAATTGAGCTCTTGGAAAGTTCTGAAAACAATACATGGACCAGACAATATAGAGACATCTGATCATGCTGAATTTGGTGTAGGCTCTCTCTTGGGTGTGACTCATACAGTGATGGATCCTGCATTCCTGCTCTTATATTTCCCTTGTGATAAGGACACAGACTGCAAATAGAGGTCTTCTGTCCAAGGCCTTGTGTCAATAATCCCTAATTTTAAATTGAAAATTTTACACTATTTCTGGAAACACCCAGGACACTCACAATTTAAAGGTCATTACTCTAAGTTGCTTCTTTTTAATTAAAAAATTGTGCCATTACTTGAAATACTCAAGAAATGAATAGCTACGTTAAATGAAGCATGTTCTCATTGGAAGACCCTTTTCTTTTTTTTTTCTTTTCTTTTTTTTTTTGATCAATAACTGTGGATTGAATCATTGGAAGACCCTTTTCTACCCTATTTATTCATAGTTAGACTTCTCAATAACCATACAAAATTAGATTGCCAGAACTTGGGCAGGAATGCAAAACAACAAGCTAAATTTGAGGGTGGGGGGAGGGGGATCCTTTTTCTATGGACCTTTTGGATAAGCATAACACCCAATTGCAACAAAACAAATTGGTAGCTATTGTATAATAATATCTTCCAATAAAATTTTTGAACCCTAGAATACAATAGCATGATCTTGGGAACTCAAAGCCATAAATCATGAAACCAATAGAAGCATGACCACAATCAACCTCAATGCATTTTTTGAAAGATTTAGAATAAGCATGATTTGGAATACATCATGATGCATTTTGACCCCTTTCTCAAAATAGGATTCATCCTTCCTAAACGAACAAAAAGTATGCTGTACCCACTAAGAATACATCATGATGCATTTTGACCACGAGTGGCAATGCTTGAAAAGAGAGGTTAGCAAGATTATTCATTCCAAGGAAGTCCAGAAATTAAATAAAACAGGGGGTGGGAGCCACATGACCCCTTTCTTTGGTGCTAGCAGCTTATCTCTATGATACACAGATGTCTAGCAACCAGGAAGGTCTGAAACTCCCCTTTTAGTACTACATGTATTATCAGAAAAATACACCAATAGTTATCCTGTACAGGCCTGATCACAGACAGAGAAGATGAAGAAGCAAAAGTCCCATGCCCAAAAAATCATCACCTTCCAATTTATCCTAGGCATTTAGCAACATTTACTTAGGTATTAATGGTCAAATCCACATCAACATGCTTGAAATTTGAACTTTTTTGTTCCTCCCATTGACATAGTGAAATCCCCCATATCAATTATTCATGTATAGTATCAAATTTTCAGCAGCACCTACTTAGTGAATTTTCTCTTAAAAAAATCACCTATGATATGCTAAAAAACTCTGGGTCTTCATAAACTGTGGAGAATAGTACAAGTGAAAAGAAACTTTATTCAAAAGTGTTACAAGATTACCTGAGATTCCACCATCACGTCGCTCGGCACATGGTTTCCAGGAGGTGGTGGCTGAATAAGGATTCTCCCAAAGTGAAGGTGCCTCTTTTACCTAAAAGAGAAGAAATGCAAGTCCAGAAGTCAATGATAGGAAACATAAACATAAGATCAAAGATAGATCATATAACCAAATTAGGGTCCTTTGAAACTTACACGTGGGCAGTGGAGGACGATACCATCTTTTCTACACAAATATGGAGCATTCTACAATTAAGTAAATGGGAAATTAGTAACGCCAATAATTTCCGCAATTGCAAAGTGATCCAGTGATCGGCATCATACATGCCAAACCATGTAACTGCAGAAGCTATAGAACAAAACTATTTCTTCACAATTTGAAACAAGAACACTGATGACAACCTGAAGTTTGAATGATGACCTATTGATCAAAAATAAACTTGAATGATGTTCTTACACAAAACTCTGTAGTGCCAAATGTTAAACCTTCAATGGCATTAAGTGCTTTAAGCATCCATCTGCTAGCATGGAAACTCTAAAGTGGAACATGGCAATAGGTTATACAAACTACGTTCTCATCGAGTAAATTATGTTAATAGACAGTTGCCACTCGAAACTCCTACCTGTTTCAGCTACTGGATCACATCGTCCGATATATTAATTCCAAGAAGACTGACGTAAATGAAGCACATGGAAATGAATAAAAGACATCAAAGGAAAAACTCTTTCTGGCCGGAGCTTATATATTGTTCAAATCATTTTACCATGGAAAATTGCCCACCAGCATTGAGTTTGAGGGAGAAATGTAGCTAAGAAAAACATCAATTTACTGGATACGTACAACAATTAGTTGCAATTCAAGGGGTGGATGAACAAAACTCAACTATATAGAGAAAACAGAATAAGATTAACGAGGAAAATGAATATGGAATCTAAAGAATATGATTACGCCGGTACAACCCTAAATGTGTGAAAGTTAAATAAAAGAAGAAAAGTGGAGAAACCTACCAATCGGTTCCAGATGGAAGGGATGGAGATCAATCCAGCAATGAGAATTAATGGGAGCACCGCAAGTGAGATCTTGGAGTGTTGCAGAGAAACCCTCGTTTCATCACTAAAATACGGAAAGAGAGATTGAAGACCGAGACAGAATGGTCTGTCTCGATCTCTGGAGTGACGATCATGGTCGTCCTCGTCATCGTCCGCCTGGTTTTTAAGTACCAGAGGTGTTGTGTCTTCTTCGCGCTTCATCGGAGACGACGATGCACGGGTTCCCATCGAGCTCGAATGCCGTAACTCCACCATCTCTCGCTTTGGACTGAATTCTTGCTTTTGTGTGGTTATGTTACTGCTACTGTTCTTGAGTTTTGAGTTCTTCGGGTCAGATCACACAAGTGGCACAACTCTCTCTCTCTCTCTCCCCACCCCACCCCACCTCAGGCCATGATCGAAAATTGTTCGCCAAGGGGAGGGTATTTTCGGTATTTAAGTACTTTTGTTTTTTTAGGTAAATTACAAAACCCCGTAAGACCCCTGTACTTTACTTTGTTTTGCGATAAAGGCCCCATGTATTATGACCGTGAGACAAAAACCCCTTTCCGTTAGTTTTCTGTTAAAGTCTGCCGTTACAATATTTTTTAATCTCCATATTATCCTTCACTGTTCATCTTCCCTGACTTCATACACGAACAGCAGTGGCAAGCTGCTGCAGCGGCGGCGGACTTCCGTTGAAGTCCTCCCTCTCTCCCAATCTCTCTTCTTCCGCCACCTTCCCAGACTTGCGAGGATTGCAGCAAGGCTGGCTCTTGTTGTCATCATGCAAAATTCAGCCCTCATGCTCGTTGCTTGCACAGCTGGGTTCATTCTGCAGTGGCAACTTTCCCTCGTCCTCATTGCTGTATTCCATGTTGTCGTTGCTGCCACCGTTTTGCAGGTAATGGAAAATTCAAATAAATAGATTTCCTGGGCGTGTTCTGCTGCAAATTACATTGTATTAAAACAAAAGATGGAATGAACTGTTCCACCTGTTTATTTATGGCCGCAGAAGATGTTCATGAAAGGTTTCTCGGGTGACTTGGAAGTTGCCCATGCCAAGGCAACGCAGTTAGTAGGCGAGGCTGTGGCAAATGTCAGAACTGTTGCCGCATTCAGTTCAGAGGCAAACATAGTCTGCCTCTTCTCCTCCAGCCTCGATTCACCCTTGAGACGCTGTTTTTGGAAGGGACAGACTTCTGGAAGTTGCTAGGGAGTACCACAGTTCTTACTCTATGCCTCGTATGCCCTTGGATTGTGGTATGCGTCCTGGCTGGTGAAGCAGGATATCTCTGATTTCTCAAAAAACAATCAAGAGTGTTCATGGTCCTCATGGTGTCTGCCAATGGCGCGGTTGAGACGCTCACTCTCGCTCCTGACTTCATCAAGGGTGGTCGTGCCATGAGCTCAGTCTTCGACCTCCTTGATTGGAAGACAGAAATTGAACCAGATGTCCCTGATTCTACACCTGCACCGGACAACCTAAAAAGGGAAGTCGAATTCAAGCATGTCGATTTAGCAGACGTGCAAGTCTTCCGAGACCTCAACTTACGTGCCCAAGCGGGCAAAACACTCGCCCTTGTTGGTCCAAGTGGGTGTGGCAAGAGCTCTGTTATTGCGCTTGGCTTCAAGAGCCAGCCTTGCTGCAATCCTCGCAAGGCTGGGAAGGTGGCGGAAGAAGAGAGAGGGAGGACTTCAACGGAAGTCCGCCGCCGCTGTTGTTCGTGTTTGTGAGGTCAGGAAAGATGAACAGTGAAGGGTAGTATAGAAATTAAAAAATATTGTAACAACAGACTTCAATAAAAGGGGGTTATTGTCTCATGATCCTAGTATAGGGGTCTTTGTTGCAAAATAAAATATAAAGGGTTTTTGTCACAGACCCTATATTACAGGGGGTATTTATAATTTATCCTTTTTTTTGGTAGTTGAACTATTTAACATTCGCACTTACTATATACCGCAGTTAATTCACTGAATTGCCAATCGTGACCATCCAAGTAGACATTGATCATGGAGATTGGGGTGATTTTGGATCCAGTTAATGGTGGTTTTGACTTCTGATTGGTCACTTGCGTACTTGAATGTTGCTCTGGTTCGGTGTCGGTGACACGGTACCGCTAGTTACGGTGAGCGGCATGATCGGATTATTTTGGGGCCACGCCAATCTGATACTGTGATACTCAAGCCGGAGATCTCAAAGAATGTGAAGAAGAAACAACCCCCCCCCCCCTCCACCCCTTTCTACTATTCTAGAGAACTCGGCACTGAGCTACACTGTTGATCAGTAACGGAATCCTTTCTTGGCTGCTTTATTTCTCCACTTTAATATAAGTCTTTCAAGCATTGAGATCCGGTAATGGCCAGGAATATTATTTCCTTAATCAATCCTTGTTTATGTGGATTGAACTGGTATAGCATTAGAATAGAGGCTAATTAATTAAGTAGGCTAGTAGGCTATATATCCCAAACTTGACTCGCAATTCAAAGAATGTTCGATTCTTTTCGTTCTCCCGAATTTTTCCTTTTCTTCATCATCAATTTCATCAACTCCTCCCAAGTCCCACCCATCCATCTCCCCCGCCGGGTCGCGCGCAAACCATTTCAGATCCCTCCGTGTCAGGCGCCCCCATGTCACCAAACTCCTCTCCCCACCCCCAACACCATGAGAACAATCCCTATTTCCAGCAGCAACCACAACATGACCCTAATTACTACCCGATGCACGGACTGAAGGTCCCGCAACCTCGTAGAACCAAGCCCATTACATGGTTCACAGCAATCTTCTGTGCAATCTTGTGGATGATCATCATACTGGGTGGCCTAATGGTCCTCATAGTCTACCTTGTCTACAGGCCTCGGAGTCCCCGGTTCGACATATCGAGCGCAACACTGAATGCCGCCTACATCGACATGGGATATCTCCTGAATGCCGACCTCACCATCCTCGCAAACTTCACCAACCCAAACAGGAAGATCGACGTGGACTTCCATTACATGGTCATTGATCTCTACTATGGGGAAACCCAGATTGCCACCCAAGCCATCGACCCCTTCTCCGCAACGAGGGCAGAGTCGAAGCTGCTGGATGTTCATATGGTGTCTAGCCAGGTTCGGCTCCCGTCGGGTGACAGTGGACAACTTAAGCAACAGATGGAAGAGAATAGGGTCGTACTGGACGTCCGAGGGTTGTTCAGAACGCGTTCTAATTTCGGTACTATATTTCATTATTCATATTGGTTGTATAGTCGATGTACTATTGTGCTCAACGGCCCCCCCACTGGGATCTTGCAGTCCCACAGATGCAGAACAAAGCGTTAGCAATTAAGCAACAAAATGTCGTATCTAAAATGTAAAATTAGAATGACAGATGAATTTTTTTGTGGAAAGCCCAGTATGCCTCCCTCTTCCTACGCTGAAACTTACACTTAACCAGGCATCCAGGCCTCCAGGGAGCTAGTTTCATCTTGTTCTGGATCTAACATCTAAGGTTGCCTTCATTCGAAGAGTTACCGGCGTACATCTTAAAAAGTTATTTTGGGCGAATATAGGATTAGCGATGGAATCTTGAGAATTGAGATAACTTAAGCTTTTGAATATGCTAAAGTGTATAATCATCTCCAAAACGTTGCATCTATAATCATCCCAGCAACACACCACTTGCATCAGATAATAAATACACCACCAATCCACCATATCTTGCCTCTCCAAGGATTGATCAGTTACATCTCACCGAATATACAATAAATCTTAAATCCCAATATTTAGGAACACAATGACAGAATTCTATAACCTGTGATTTCATGCTAGCTCCTTAATCAATACGTTTATAAACATAACTATTAAACGACCACAGTTCATACCGAACACTCCAAAAAAAACCCTCTTTGCTAGTACTAAATTGGATTTTCTAAATTCACATTATTATAAATTTTCCACTTGTCACTTTTGAACATGTATTAATCCTTGACCACCTCAGTAACTCACTTGAGCCTTGCAAGACAGCTCAGAAACCCGTATAAACAAGCAACTAGGTTTCTTTACCTATTGTATATGAATTACAAAAAAAAGAAAATCATCCATTTTAATTCATTTATGTAAAATCTAATACAAAAGCTTAAAACATTGCCACGGCTATTGCGTGCTCATTCTACGAATGAAAAATGCATAATCAGGAACCGGAAAAGACAACCGAGAATCCTATTCAAACATGGGACTCCGCAACACAAGAAAAATAGCATGCAACTCGTCGCATGCTGCTGATTGAGCTTTTTTTCTCGTTTGAGTGGGGGATCCTACTGCTCATACGCAAATGTTACCTTGTATCAACAAATGCGCACGGGTGAAAGCTTTCGCTGACAAATGAAAGATAAATGAAAAAATTCACTCAAACATTCTCTCCTCTTGAACATCATAAGAACAGAAACTGTTTTCTATACATTCGGGAGATAACCAAAAAGCTTCGGCACCCCGCATCATAAAAATCATTCACGGGCCAAAGTTTATCTATACAACCTACTACTGTACATTATAATCTCCTGTGATAATCCCTTGTAAAGAAAGGATGTCTGAGGGCTTCGCGTGCGGTTAGCCGATCCATGGGGTCATACTTGAGCAAACCTTGCAACAAGTCTATAACATCCCCAGCAGAGTGGTCAACATGCTGCATAACTAGGTTCTACAAAAACAAATGATAAAAAAAAGGGATTAGGAAGAGCTAGAGGAGATTGAAATGATGCATGGATTAATTAAGAAATAGAGAGAAGCAAATGGGCTTGCGAACATTATACTGCTGCATTAATTAAGAAATAGAGAGAAGCAAATGAGTTTGCGAACATTATACTGCTGCAACAGCCTAGGAATCTATAATTTTGGTAGCGAGGCCAAGAAGTATCAAATCAAATACGCAAGTGGAAGAAATCTCAACATTTTGCGCCAGGTGTCGGCCTCGTTAAGTAACACAAAATATTAAACCGAGTTTGAAACTTGTGTCTACCTTGGTGCAAATGCTCCCCATCTCCCACACTATACTACCCACTATTTACCCGATCCAAACCCAACTATTATGCATTTACTTGTTCAGTCGGGCTCAGGTTGGATTAGGCCTGAATCCGACGACACAAGGTCTCGACCAAAGTTTAAAACAGTCCCGAGTTCTTTTGGATCAGCCCAGCCCACAGCCCAAAAAATCAGGTTGGGACGCGGCCCAAGTTGCACTAGACATCTTCGTGACATGCAAGAGCAGGACATAAAAGTATTTACCTGAAGACGGGGAAGCTTCATGACAGCTTTAATGCTTTCCCTTGATGTCGCGCCTTCGGGCCAATCAAGTCTACCCCTTCTAATGTACTTCTCCGCATGCCGACTAAAAATTGCAAACAAAGACCCAAAAAAAGAGGTTAGTAGTTACCGAGGTAAACCACAAAGACTGAAATAGAGGAAGGCAAACGCAAAATATACATGTTTCTAACAAGAGCACTTACTCTACTCGCTTCAACATGTGTTGAGGCAATGGACCTAAAACGCGCTCCATCATGGCAAGATGTTCCAAATTTTCATGGGTCTGAAACAAGGCTTCCCCCTGAACATGATACATGGGATTTGAGATTAACAATTGCAGACTAAGTTCCAACTTAACAACCCAATTAGGATTTGCTAAAATGCCAATAATTCCCTACAAAAAGAAGATACAGTACCGAGCATAACTCCACCAACATGCAACCAACACTCCATATATCACATGGAAAACTCCACCCAAGTCCTACACAAATATTAAGACAGATCTAATAATATTCCCCTTTGATCATCAATTCATCATAAATATCAATAATTTGTCAAAATTTAAAATATGATGCTACAAACAAAAACATACCAAGAATGACCTCAGGTGCACGGTAATGTCGTGTTGACACTATATAGCTGTGATCCTGATGCTCATATGTGGTGCTACCAAAATCAATTACCTTGATAGCACTTGACTTCGGCAACCTTTTGAAATAGGAACCATCCCTGGGTGATCGAGAGGAACCCTGCAATAGCAAAAACTGGAAAATTTTTAACACCTAAAATTCCGTGTCAAACACTTCAGCAAAGATATAAGCAAGAAAGCAGATACCTTGTAGTCAGGAATTTTAACATATTCTGGAGAGACAAGTAGAACATTTTCAGGCTTTAGGTCAGTATGAATGAGGCGCAAATCGTGCATGACTGAATATACAAACAGAAATCTGAATTAGCATTTATAATACTGAGGAATAAAGTTGCAGATACTCAGCTTTCCCTCTCTATAATCAGGCCCATTAAACAAAATGACAAGCGATTTAACCATGTAGTAACTTCCAAAAAAATATAGAAAAGAACACCTAGAGAGACTAGTTGTTGATTATTCATTCCCAAGCCAGTTTAAGGGAAGAGGTAATATATCTCCTATAATTGTTGCAATACAACTTGAAATCAATAGAAGGAATTGGCAGGATGACTACACACATGCAACACATTCCAACAGTTGTCTTCCAATCTCACGAACAAGATCAATGGGAAATGAGCGATAATTGTTTTTCCGAAGAAAATCGTATAAGCTTGGTCCAAGCTTCTCAAATACCTGTTAGTTAAATCATTTAGATCCATGGACAAGTCTTAACCCCCAAAACATTTGTGAAATTGGGGAAATCAAGCCATCACAAATCAATTATATACTTACAATACAGATATGATTACGATAGTCAAACCAGTTCCGTATTTGCACACAACTGCAAGGAACAAACCCACTTAACCACACAAACTTCACCTTAAAACTACTACAGCACCAACAAGCAGCAAAATAGCATACAATATAAAGATAATTGTGTCATATTAATGGAAATAGAACTAACCGACTGCCACTTTTGTCATGTTTTGCCAGTTGTTGAAGGACTTCAATTTCTATCATTGCAGCTTCACGATATTTCTTAATACCACGTACAATTTTGATGGCAACCATTTCCTTCCTTACGCTGTCCCAGCATTCCAAAACCTGTCCAAATGTCCCTGGATAACAGAAATACATAAAAGGACACTTAATATGAGAGGAAAAATGATGAAGCTTCTGAACGTGCATATATGCAATAAGTCTATACATACATGTAAAGATATTCTACATCACAGTACAAGAAAGGTGAAATAATATAAAAACTTAGCAATGGCCCGTGATTGCAGCATTCACTACCAAAGAGTATAAACAACAGACTCACTTAATTGCACTGGAAACAACAAAACTAAAAGGCATGAATTTTTTTTTTTGAATTAGCATGTTATTTAGACAAGAGAACAGACCTTCACCCATTTTGCTATGAATTCGATCTGTAACACACACACAAAAAAAACACAAACAGAAAAGTTAGGCAATGTGGCATCCAAATATACAGAATGAATATTAAATTTTTCAAGATTTTATCTACAGACATTCTCATTTGAGTTCTTTACATGAAAAACATCTAAGCAGAAGCCAACAAAATGGCAAGCACTTAAAACCCAGAATAAGCCTTTTTTCTTGAAAAAAAAAACAATTTTTCAATAAAACTATCAAATTACCATATGCATGCAATTTTGGAAAACCAAACCCACTATGCCCAATTTAATATATATATATATATATATATATATATATATAAGAATTCTGTAACCAATCCAACTTGACACTATAGCTAGCTTAAAGCCCAATTTAAAATATTGGATGTCCATGAAGGCATGAACACGGAATTTCAACTGTAAATTGGTTTAAGGAACTCTACTGAACAAAAATAATTAAGCACAACTCTGTTAATAAACCAAAAAAGAATGAAAACCATGGTGAACAACTGAACATGTAAAGATGAGATAAAAAAACAAAAAGCTAGAAATAAGGGATGTAGAAACCTTTGAAAACTGCAAAACAGAAAAAGTAAGGGAAAATACATTAAAAGGGTGAGAATAGGAAAAACAAAAACAGGAACAAGTGAACAACAAACAGTAAATATAATCTACCAGAAGATCAAACCATGTAACATAAATGTAAAGAGCATTTCTTTAATGGTGATTAAGTGTAATTACAGCGAGAAGTTAAATTTTCTCCAAGCGCAAACATGTAATGTCCATCTTTGTCATCATCTCGCCATGGGGGAGAACCATTTCGAGCCACTCCCTTTATTAACAGAGAAGAGCTAGTATGGTCTGAGGGTGCCCTTGAAGGTGCAAAGCTTGTCAAGTTTCCAACCTCTTGCCCACAAAAATTTCCTGGCTGAGCCTACACACAGCCATCCATTCATACCACTCAACAAACATAAGAATAATTTTTTCCCTCACTTTACTATCCCCTCCCAACAAAATCCCCAAGTGATTCTGAACACCCAATAAAGAAACAATAATTTTGTAGGATGAAAATAAGGAAAGCTTACCAAACACGCGGAGAATCCATTGCAAGAAATAGAAGAGCAAAAAACAAAAACAGGTACAGTTTCACAGGAAGTTAAAAACAGTAGAAAAGAATCAAGAGTTGAAAGACTACAACGATGTTCCCTTCTAGCAAGAAACTATCTAATAAAAAGTGAATACACGCACACGAGCATCTATCTTGCTGTCTTACAAATATGGAACTCCAGTAAGTTATACTCGAGAAAGATATAAACATTTTTAACCTTTAAAATTCTTTTTCATTAAAATACAAAGTAAATGATGAAACTGCATAAGCAGATGAAGAGACAAAAGTGGAGCAGAGAAAAAGTTAATCAAATCCAAGAAGCAAATAATGAATACATATAGATCTAATGGCGAAGCAAGTAAAACATTTAGAGTTGTCAGATCCTGGAGGAAATATAACTAATTAGGTTAAAAAACTTGCTCTTTGCAAGGAATATTATTTTATGCAAAAAAAACAATAAAAAACGAATAGAAATCCGAACACATAAAATCATATGGCCTGATCTAAGCTAACGAGTATCAGATCTTGGAAGGACCAAACACAATATTAGTAGATGCGCCCAAAACATACAAATAGCTTTGCAGAATCTGACAAATAGTTCCACGAAATTTAAGAAACAACAAAATTACGGACCTTACCGGATCAAACAAGATGCACCCAAAAGAAATCCACCAGATCTATCAAGAAAAACCAGAAGATAGAAAACCAGTAGAATCAAAATGTAATTAGCAACTACCTTAGGCATCTGAGGGACATCCCAAGCTAGCTTTGGCCTCTTTCGGGGGCGTCGATCCATGTGCGTGTGCGGAAACTCCGTCAAGAACTCCATCTCCATGATCGCGAAAAAATATTACAGAAAATATGATTGAAGATATAGAAAATATGACGGGATGAATGTTTTCGGGAGAGGAGGAAACCCTAACCCTAGCAAAGGCAGCGGTAGTCCTGAGATTGGCGTACTCGCGACTCGCGACTCGCGACTCGCGACTAGTTTCAAACCCTAATGTTGACCGCTCGACCACTCCTCAGCCCTCTCATCCTTGTTGGAATTAACCCTAGTTATGGTTTTAACCATAGTTAGATGAGCTAGCTTTATAGCATTGATTCCCTCGACTTTTAGCCCCACCCACGTGGCTACGCATAAAAGGGGAGACCGGATCTCCTCCCCCACATCGGATTTGCTACTCACACGCACGTTCTATCATACATTGAAAATATCTCCCTACTTATTAGTTATTATTCATCAAAAATGTTTCCAATGCACGTTAATGTTTCTGTGACGCGCCTATTTGTGAAGAGCATATCCCGCTTAAGGGAGAAGTATCATACTATCATCCTAATATGAAAGGAGCGAAACTCAAAATACATAAATACCCTTTCACAAAAATAACATTACACGAATACCTTCTTTATTCGCACATTATTACAAAACTTTGTGTTTTATATCGAAGTCGTCATGTATGAAGTTAGGGTACTGATGTCATTTTAGCAAGTGCACTATATACAGGTTTGGGAGGACACATGGTGACGGGATCTGCTCCTCACAAATGGGCGCCTCACAGGCACGTCCACTGCTCCTCACAGATGTTCTCAATGCGATGTGCGTGTGAGGCGCGAGGTGTGAGGAGCAGATCCGGTCTCGAACACACAAGACCCATATGTCATAAAATCCGGATCTACTACCCATGTAGGAGTGTCAATTGGACTGGATTTGGTCCAATTCAATCCAGCCCAATGTGAATTCATTATAAATGGATCAGGTTGAATTCAATCTAATGAATATTTTTGGACCAATTTGAATCCGTCCAATTTTTTTGGTAGAGAACATGATTCATTGAAAGAGAAACAGAATAGATCAGTCCAATTCAATGTTTGGACTTTCCAATCTGTTCAAATACCCAAATCCGACACCTATATTCTTATCTTTTATCAATGGATCAATATTGGCTCAATCTAACTCAATCCAATATTAATTCATTATAGATGAACCAGGTCCAATCCAATCTAATTAATTCTTTGGACCATAAAATCTGGACCGGTCTAATTCAATATATCATATTGATCCATCCAAAATAATGTTGATTTGAACAAGGGTCCAATCCAAAAACCAGTACATTGACATTCCTAACACCCACGAGAGCACTCTCTACACCTATCTAGGACATTCCTAATGCACGACTATAATCCGAGTTGATGCGATGTCTCCTTGGTGCTAGACACACTTGGTTCTACGTACTATAGGAGATCATTTTTGGTTCGGACTAGCACGACCCAAAAATTCCAGACTACAGAGATCACTATATAATGGGGTGCTCACAAAAACCTAAAAACCAATTCAGAAATGTGGTTAATTGAATCGATCGATTCAATTTTGACTCGGTATTTTATGAGAAATCAAAGGATCGGTTTGATTTTTTATTAATCTAAAAAAATGATGGTTAACTAAATCAAGCGGTATATATTTATATGTATTATATTTAATATATATCATATATTATCTATATATTATATATAAATATATGTATATATTATATTTATAAATATATTATATATTATATATTTTTATAAGGGTTTTTTACAAAAAATAAAGTTGGTTGAATCAACAAAATCAGACATGTTTGTAAACAAATTACAAAAATAGTGAGCGAGAAAAAAAAATAACTTTTATGGACAAAATTACCCTCCCCAATTCTAATTTTTATCTTCCTTACTCATTCTATTTCTTCTTCCACTATAGCAAAACGGCCATCAGAATTTTGAACTATCGTCTTGACTCCACCAAATTTTTTTACCATTTAATACGGTAACCACCAAACCAGGTGTCCAGTTACTTAGTGTATCTAATTATCTATATATGCATTGTGGGTCTTCGTTATTCGATAATTTAGGTGCTGTGAGGATAAGGGAGTGGGGTGGATGACATACCATGCTTGGCTATTCAGACTAATTTCACATTTAGTATATGTGGAAGCAAGGTTTTTAAAATTGACCCGGAGAACGAACCGGTCAGGGGTCTGGTTGCTGGGTCAAAGGGTTCAACCGCTTGAATCGAATGATCGATCCGTTTTAATAAAAAAATTAAAATGTCAAAATCGTTGAACGATTCAAACGGTTCAACCAATCGGGTCAACAATTTGTTGACCAAATCAACATTTTTATTTTTGCAAATATCCAGTTTTGGAGAAAAACGGAATCAATCATCTGACTGGTTCTCAAGTTTTCGGTCTGACCGTCCAGTCCGGTCCGATTTTGAAAACCTTGTGTGGAAGAGTCGAACTTGAGGTGAAGGTAGCACTAGAGCCATGGGTGTAAGCTAGGCAAGCAACTTTCCAAGACATTAGGGCTCAGCTACTCAAATGGAGTTTTACAAGTATTATTATAACCGGTTCATGGTGGTGAATGAATATTGCTTGCACCGATTCATGATTAGAAATTTGGAACATGGTTTTCAAACCGTGGCTGATCTGGACAGTTGGACAATTCGACCCAGAAACCGTCTAGGCAACTGGTTTTGTTTTATCCCAAAATTGGTCATTAGCAAAAAATTGTTGAATCGATTAACAATCCGTTGACCTAGGCGGTCAAACTGTCTATCATACAACGGTTTTTTGCTTTTTTTATTATTTTTTAAATTTTTATTATCAAAATAAGCTTCCATTCGAACCAAACGATCGAACCATCGACCCGAAAACCAATGGCCAGAACATTCCATTTCGAAGTCATTTTTTAAAACCGTGATTTAAAATATATATTTGACGGATGGGAGCACATTAGAATTAGTATTGAAGGAATTTTCAATTATTCCCAATTCAGGACTTGGCAAAATCCCATGTGAAGTATGCTATGTTTTAATGATTCAACACATGATTGTTCGCCTACCATTTCTTAAATTCAGAATAAACTTGCTCATTTGGAAAGATTTAATTTCCCCATGAATTACAGGCTTGATTTTTTCTAGGCATCTTTCAAAGGTGAAATTTGTAGGATTTCATAGAGGAATAAGGGGAAGAAGAAGATGGGAGGAAATTTCTTCTGATTTTTTCAAATAATGGGTAATAGAGAAGTTGCTTTTTCAACAATGGCGAGTCAATACTCTAGTTCAAGATTCTGATTACGATTTTGTTACAGCGTAAGAGGAAGGAAGAAGAAGAACAGGAAAAAAAAGGGGGAGAGAGAGAGAGGTAGAAGAAGAAGAAGGGGCAACCACCAAACTGGTGGTGGTCACCATGTGTGGTAAAAATAATAAAGAGGCATAATGGAACTTATCGATACTTGCTTTTTAAATCGAATTTGCAATGCTGCGATGTTGTTGTAGAAATTCGGAACTGGGAATTGCAGGACCAAGTCGTGCTAAGTCATGCCACTTGGTTATTCTCCTTAAAACCGCATTTGCTCCCTACGGTACAGCCGGGTGATCGCAAATCGGTCGCCAAGATAAAATAACCCACAATCCACCGGTAGGCATGCATTTGCTTATCAGACATCCACGAACCACAGAAGATTGGTGCTCATATTTCAAAGAAGACAAAGGATAGGAAAATTGTTGTGTATAAACTAGGTCGACTAACATCCCTTTTATAGATTGGTCTCAGACCCAAATGGACACAGATGTGTCATTTTAGAAAGGAGCCTCTTCAAAACAGTGCACATGTTCGAAGAGGCACAGGGAGGAAGAAGAGACACGAAAGAAAGATAAAAAGTTTTTTAAAAACATTAAGTTTGATACCTGTTTGAATGGACACAAAACCATTTAATTCGAAAATCAAATCCGATTAAAAGCAAAAAACAATTCGGTATATTGCGCGTGTGTACACGTACACGCACCCGAGCCCATGCCCACGCTCACACTCACATCCCGACCTGACCCGGCTCGACGCGCACGTGTTAAAAGCACCCCCAACCCCCTCTTACATGCATAGAATATCTATAATGCTCTCCTCCTATGGGTCTCTACCCATAGAGAGAGCAAAACTACAAATATACTCTACTTCCACTCCTTTCCCAAACAATGTGGAACAAAGATTCTTCCCATGCACTCAATAAAATTTGAATCTCCCTTCAACACCATGTTTGACAGTGTCGATGGAAAGAAAAATAATAAGTAAAAAGAGAGAAAAAATTGAATCGAGGAGGGTAATTTGGTCAATAAAAGTTAACCTTTTTTTCTCACTCATTGTTTTTGTTATTTGTTTGTAAACATATCGGATTTTGTTGATTCAACTAACTTTATTATTATTTTTTTTGTAAAAAGCCCTTTTTATAGTATTTATAAAATGTTATATATCATTTATTATTTATAATATATTATATTATATATTTATTTAAAATATATGTTAGAAATGTAAAAAAACTGAAAAATTAAAGAACTGAACTGATCAAAAACTGAAACCGATCAACCAATTAACCAGTGATACCAGTTCGATTTTAATTCGGGAAAATATAAAATCTGATAGGATCGGTTTGGTTTCTGAAAAATACTCATGATTTAATTAATTGAACCATAAACACTCTATGAGTATGTAATGTATTTAACGAGGTAGGCCCAAATCCCAGCTAGACGCAGTTCCATCTGAGACCCAATCTTTTTGTACATACCCATAACCAAGCACACTGGGATTCTGCTCGCTACGGTTTAAACCAAATTTATCGGTGAACAACCAATCAGATCACATAAACCTGAATATATCATATAAATTGAACCTGCCTAAGCATCATGACTCATTTTTTAATGTTTTCTTGATCTTGTCTTGATTAAGTTGAATTTAAGATCTTTTACATTGGGGTAGATCAGTAGATGCCACACTCATCCAAGGTTGGTAACATTTAACCGACATCTAAACTTTGAAATCTTTGTTTCTAGTATTTGGCTGTAGGAAAGACGTGATATCCGAAAATTTATGACGGTTTCATAGAAATGGTAAGCAATCAATTAGTACTTATCAAAATTCATTGTGTGATGTTTTGATTGGCATAAGCTTTTTGATTGAATGGTTCTTTCATTTTTGAGACATATCGGTGCCTATTAAGTGAGGTCCCTGAATAAGTTTTTATTCTCTAACCCAACCCTTAGATGCATTAAGAGGTTTTGGATGTATAATGGATTGGATTTATTTGTTCAAAGAAATGGGCTTGGCATTTGCTAAGGTTGCGCTTGTTTCAGGTGTAAATCAAACCAAGGTAAACTGTACATTCCGGTTTGATTTTGCAAGCAAATGGATAGAGTGTATATTTATACCTTAAATCAGTGTAAAACTCCATTCTGAAATCCTTTAAATTGATAATCAATGTAAAAAAAATACATCAAAATTATTGATGTAAAACTTATTCGTTTCTACCATTCAAGTAAAACTCATCTCACTCTAACGTATACCTTCTCCAATTTTCCATTTGATTTATCTCTCGTTGGTCCCGCTGCTTCTCTGTGGAATATCCGGTATGAGAATCTACTCTCTCTCCGAACAAACCAATAAACATAAAAAGGTCATACAAGCAGTACCAAAGATAGATTAGAGAAATCTGAACCAGGCAAATACCTCATATTGTTGTTCCTTTGTCTCCTTCTCGACAATCCATTCGTCGTCGGATTCAGTGGAAGAAAACTTCAGATTCATGCCCTCCTCGGACCAGAAAAACAATTGTACTGTCAAACTCTTCCGAACGGGTTTACAAAAAAAGGTCGAAGAAACAAATTTTCAGCTTTTGCTTATTCTCTCGACCTTCTCCTCGCCTTCTCTATTTTCGCATTCTCTCCCACTCAACTTTTATTCTCTTTGTTTTTACTCTAATCTCATCTTTTTTGTTTCTTCACTCCTTGCGAAACCCACTCCGAAGCTGCATTTACGACTGGGATCACTTGCCTACCACTGGCTTAATGTGGAACATTGGATTTACAATCAATCACACGGTTGTTGTTGGCTAGTACCAACATTGTAGAAGAACCCGTTGTTGGATGTACTGGACAATGAAGAGCTTAGCCCTTTCGGACATAACCGCCACATGTCAAATTCCATCTCACTTTTCTTCCACCCCAAGTTTGTTCACTTTACTCTCTCACCCCTCCTTAATATATTGATATTCAGTTGCTCTTTTGATGATGCCGACAACAACCCGTCAAGATGCAGATATCTCTCTTCTTCTATATGATTTCTCATCAGCTACTCTTGGTTACTTGGTTAATTGTAAAAGCTACAAAAGGATTCACATGGGTGAGGATATCAGTCGAAGTCAGTCAAATCCATTATTGCATCTCCAGCTCCAAATATCGGTGTGTATTTCGAATATCGACAAAAATTTTTATCAAAATTTACACCTTGATAACCAAACATCATCAATGTAAATATTAAAAAACAATCGGTTCTAATTTTTCATCCATCATTGAACTGGATCATATTTTCCATTCGTGTAAAATTGAATTTACACTTAAAACAAACGTAGCTTAAGAAAAAGGAGTGCAAATGTGGGACAAGTAGTATGACTGTTTGAAACTATCAAAAGTCGATACATGTTGACTCTAATCAAATGATAGCAAACCTTGAAGCTTTGATGAAGGTACACTGTTATGGGAAGCTCTTGTTGAAACCATTGCTATTGCTTTATACGTAAATAATTCTTTGGTGGAATCTAGAGATGCCTAAACTATTGCCACCAAGGGCTAGTTTGAACAATACCATAGGCATTAATTGAGCAAAAAATTGTAAGCAAAATTAATAGTGAGGTCTTCATTTGAGCATGCTAGCCACCATGGTTTTGAAAAGAAGACCGGAAATGAAACCATTGTGGCCATCAGTTTTCGGGTCAAACGGTCCAACCATCTGGTACTAATCTGGCCATTGGGCGGTTTTAGGGCCCAAAACTATACTTAGATCCATGGCCAGTCTCAGATCAACTGGTCCGACCATCCGATCCAGTCGGTTTTCAAAATCATGGTCACCACATAGTTCGGATCAATTGGAAAACCGGTTGGTGTAACAAATGCTGATATACCAATAAAACCAATTAGAATGGGTAACTTATCCAAAACATTTGTGGAGACCAAGATTCAAGTAAAACAAATGGAAGGATGTCATGTTTTGCTATGGCAAACATTGATTTCATTCTACAACATTTTCTGACTTGTTCGCTCATATTCAAAACAACTATCTTTCGTGACACTAAAGCTCTATTTGTTTGTGATGCCAATTTGAACTAGATATAAATTTTGTACTTGGTTCAGTTTTACAATATGTTCTTCATAGTTATGATTGTGCACTCCTACCTGATACAAGACATGTACATTTTGTTTTATTTACACTTAGAGACAATACAAATTGTGCATCCCAAAAACAGAAATGCAAAAGTTGCACCACCTTCCTCCTACCTTAGTTATTTCTCATATAGGCCCCATTCATTTTTTGATAAGTTATTTACCTAGTTAAGTGCATTGACATGGGTAATGTTTCCTAAATAAGACTTGTCTGAGTAAATGCATTTAACCAATTTTTAATCATGAAATTTACTTGGGTAAATTAGGCAATTTACCTATCTATTATTACAAGAGGCAAATTTGTCCATTTGTATTTTAACATTTTCTCCTCTCACCTAGAAGATGGATATCACATTCCCAAATAAATGATAGCAAGGCCCCGTTTGCTTTTCAGTAAATTACTTACCCAGGTAAATGCAATTACCTGGATAAGCGCATTTACCCGTGTTCCAGGTAAATAAGGTAATGACCATTTTAGTCATAAAAATCCATTATTAAAAAGGGGCATTTTTATCCCATTCAAGTATTAGCAACTTTTCTCCTATGTAGGAATTTTCCACATAGGAGATGGGTATACCTAGGAAAATGAACTTTCCCTGGTCCCTACATTAATCTGAAAAATGAACATGGGATTCTTGGTCAATGGGAACCAAAATCCCATTAACCAACTTTCTTCACTCTCAAAATCCAAAAAAAGAACGCCCCCAAATGAAAATTTGATTTATCATGGGTCCCACAATAACCAAAAAACAAATGTGAAAAACTTTAGCCAATTTTCTCATTGACTAATTACTCCCCCCTCCCAACTTATCGATGGATATGTTTTTGGGTTGTTTCAATATACTAGCTAGACAATCTCGATTAATTAGAATCTTTTTACATCACTTAAATGGTTGAGTTTAATTCACTAATATTAGGAGACCATTTTAATAACCTATTTGATTTGTTCCTTAGGCTGTGTTTGGTTGCAATGTAAATAAATTTGCACTGATGCAAAATCATGGTAGTACTACAAATGATTTGAGCGTAAATTCTGACCTATTTTTTTATCAAATTTTAGTTTATTTTGTTTGATTGCAGTATAAATGAAGTAAATTAAGGCATAAAACAAAATAAAGTAAAATTCAAAACAAAATAAAAAAAAAAGAATTTGCATTTTTTACATTTGCACTCCCACACATTTTTCTACTACAAATAAAATTGCACTGCAATCAAACACAAGTTAGGCTCAGTATGAAAAGAGTGCAAATACAAATATATACAGTATAAATACATACAAAATACATTATTTTGCACTATACATATTTTTATCTATACTCTTCCTAAACTAAGCCTTGTTTGAATAAACCATATTAGTTGACACTTGATACATTATTTACATGGTTGAGGCTTTCTCATGAGTCATGAGGCCATTTTGATGTGGTTCATTTTTCTTGTTTTTGAACGGGTAAGATTAATTGAAATCTTGATATATTGTTTGAATGGCTAATGTTTATTTGAATAGCTAAGATAAAAGGGTGAAGTTAGTCTTAATCGGGTTTTGAGTTGAACCTGATCCAACGCATTGGGGCGGGGCCAGTTTTTTGCATACCCTATCTCTAACCCCTAACATATGAACTGCACTCTGTCCTCACCCCATACCCCGCCAGGGCTAAAAATCTCAGCTCCATGTCTCCATCCTTGTCATAGCAGGGAATGGGGATCCCAGAATTTGCCCCACCCCACCCCAGCTACTCTCCTGTGTGCAAACCTATTTTTTGAGATAAGCATATATACATATGTTATAATATGTTATATAATATATGTATAAAATTTATTTAATATATTATACAACATAAAATTATTATAGGTGCCATGCTATATATAATATTTATATATAAACTATAAAATATAATATAGAATAACAAATTAGACATATATTATCTATTAGATAGGTTCAAGGTTGGGTTTGGGTGGGATAGACTCCCACCCATCTACAATTACCAAGTTCTGGGTTTCTCTGAAACCAAAACCAAATCCGATCAACAGCAAAAAAAAGTTGCCCCCATCAAGGGTTGAGGGTTAAATTACCATCATACTAAACCTGACCCGTTGAGATTTGAGATATGACGCATGAGAATATTTGCAAAAGTAGTCTTTTAAGTAATTAAGTATAAGGATGCTGCTATTCATATGACAAGAGGGTAGGGTTCAACATTCTCTTTTTTTTTGGTAGGATGGAAATAGCTTTGAATTGGGTTTTTATTTCTAAGCCAAACCCAAACCGCAAACCAGATCTGTCAATAGATTGGTTTTTAATTGACAATCCAACCAAACCAAAATCTTATGAATTCTATGTGTAATAAGAAGTTAATACCACTTCTAATAGGATTAGTAAGTGTGTATGTGCTTTGCATCTGGTAATTCTAGATGATGACAATTATAGTAATAATATATCCAAATTTTTTTATAAATTTTATGTATTTTTATTTTTTGTTTTTTATTATTAATCAGATGCATATTGCAAAATCCAAATCTGATTACATAAACACATCATCCAAATATGTGATAATCAAAATGAATTGTGAAGTTTCAAGTATCATTGACAGGCCTACCTACTTGGCCAGACTCTGTTTTTGGTAGTGTTTTATCTTTTTGGTGTATCTTTTTTTTTTCTTTTGTTCATTTACAAAAAATGTAAGATTTAAATAGAGGGAATTTAATGAGGTGGAAATTATTAGTTCAGTTTACAATTTAAACCTTACAATTAAATATGAACTAAATTAAAAATTGAATATTTTAGTCAATGTTCTAAAAAGATGGACTAGACCGGACAATCGAACATTTTGGCTCGGGAACCAGTTAGTTCATCGGTTTCGTTTTGGCCCTGAACCGCTATTTTTACAAAAAACTGTTGAAATGGTCAAAGAACCACTGACTCGGACGATTTAACCGTTAAAATGTTTGACCCGGTTAATGGTTCTTAGGTTGCTTTCAAACTAATTCCAAATCTTTTATTTATTTTAAAATATAAATTAGAAAATAAAAATAATTAAAAAAAGAAACTTTCATATCTCATAATCTTCTTTGATTATTCCTAATGGCCAAAATTAGTTATGGTTTTAGTTTTTCTATTTCGATTTTGAGTTTTCTCATTTATGTGATTCCTTTTCAGTTGTAACAAAAAAAATTGCAACTCCAATGCATAAATTGAAAAATCAATGTAAGAGATGATAAGAGATGATAAAACATTTAACTTATATTAAAATCTAAGATACACCAATAAAACAAATGATCTAGGATTCGAGAGAGATTTAGAGAGATAAGAGAGATGTAAGAAGAGGGCAAACAATGCTATAGTGGTCGTGATGATAAACATAGAGATAGCCGCTGACGGTGGTTCCTTCTCCTTCTCCTTCTTAGGGCAAAATAGTTTTGTAACAACGATCGATGAACATGATGACTACCATCTCTGACGACGCTTCATTTTCTTCTTCTTCTTCTTTCTCATTTCTCAACTTTGTCTAGTCGCCTCCTTCTCAAAGTCTCACACTCCCCTCTCA